ATGGTCGTTTTCATCACGGCCGCCACCCCCTGCCCCCACCCGTAACCCCTCGACCACCACTAATCACCAATACCACCAAGCCATTACTGTCGTCATCACAACTACCACCACCAAGGTTGGATTAGCAAGATTAAAGAAAAATAAAAAAGTCCCAACCCCATTGCAAGTTCATGATCACACTTGAGCAAAAAATTCGCACCTGGTTATAGTTTACAAGTGGCTCTTCATAGCTAGGTGCAGAAGGTGTGATAAATTTGGGGCATGCATATGAGAAAAGCTCATCATAAAGCGCAAATGATTCATCGTCATATCGTTGCATTCTCAACATTTTTTCACCATATTTCTCCCTTAGTTGAGAGTTCACAGTTTCATCAACAAGTTTCACTTGGGGACAAAGAGATAGGCAGATTGTTAGCAGAGCATACATCTGTTCATTCTTCTTTAGTATTTGCTCATACTGTGGCGATTTCTGGTGATACTGTTTAGTCTTGTAAATGTACAAAAGAATTTTGTTGAACTCGCGAATGGCCTCTACATACCTGCACAATCACTAACGCATAAGCTACACATGTTAACTGAAAAGATGGAACAACAGGATGTCAAACATGAATGATTTCCACAAGTAGCATTTATTTTTATGCAAGCATTTCCATTTACCACAAACCAAGGTTAAAAATGGCGCCGCGATGAGGTCGTGCCTCAAAGCCTTAAGAGCCACGGCAAGGCCACAACATTTTTCAAGGCGTGACTTAAGGCAGCAAATCTGCATATATAAAATTATACACATGTTTTCTACTATTAATCAATGAGTATTGAACAATGTTAATTCATAGAAGACCACCAAAACAAAATAATATATTGATATCACATATATACTAAAACTTACATTATATACGAAAAACTTACAAGTAAAACACTAAAAGGGTAACAAAATATCAATTGCACATCCTACAAAAAACGCACATCCAACATGGCAAGCAGCATGCCAGGGGGCTTAACGTAACGTCATGGACAAACCTTCTGCCACAGCATGCCACGACAGCCTTTTATAACACTGCTATGAACTTAACAAACAGAAAAATCATTAGGGAAAGCAATCCCAATCATTGTGATCCTTTAACAAGCCAAAAAGGCTAATTGTCAATCAAAGCTTTGGAAACCAAGAAAGGCTCCTTCTCTCATCCATTCTCAACTCATTAAGCGAAAAAATATATCTGGTCATCTCCCTAATCTACATACCACTGCATCACAACCATGGAAGGGTCACAGGTGAAGATGGAGGTAGACAGAAAATTAGCATACTGAGTAGGGTTCATGACTGTCACTTACTTTTCCTTTTTATCCTCCATCCATATTTCACAAATGAAACCAAATCTACAACTCCTCACCCATCCTTCTTTGTCCTTCTCTATGTTTATGTGGCTTCTTTACAGTGATTTTATTCCAATGTGCCTAGTAAACATTACAGGAGCAGGTATTTTTCTTCAGTTGAAAAGCAAGCCTAACTAAAGAATCCCATTATTGTTTTAGCTGTTCGTAAATTAAAGTCTAATAATTAATTAATCAGTCCTAATCTTCCAACCTAACCTCCTTACCTGGCCACGACTTATTTGTATGGATCATCTAATTTAGTGTCAACTGAGCCCAAATATTTCACAGCATCGTACGCCGTAACACTTCAACTTATCATGGGTTCATGATAAAGGGAATAAACAGGCAGAAACCCCTCTATTGTGTTGTTTCCTATTCAGTAACCGGAATCCAAAGCATAATTCAGATTTTCATGGAACACAATTGATTACTTCCCATTGCAAACATTTGGGAAAAACATGTGCGCGAACAGACAAGCTGAATAGACATTGAAAATACCTCCGCAACATAAGATTGGCAAACCCATAATGATAGATGGTAGTGATGTGACTGCCAATAACACTGGTGTAAACTCCTTGTTGACTTATGTCAATAGGAAGTAAGCACTTCAGGCCAGTTTGATAATCTCCCAATAAACAATGGACTCTTAGCAAACCAACCATGCTGAAGTAACCCAAGACCTTCAAGACATTACTTCCACCACTATAATCATATCCATCTGTGGCTGTGAACTGTTCAAGGCCTTCTTTTTCCTGCTCTAGAATCTGAATGATCGAAGACTTCTCCATCAATGCTTGCAAAAAGTTAAGAACGCCATACACATTCCAGGCCTGTAAAAGGGTGGAAAGCATGATATTACATTATGTTTGAAGTCATTTTGATGAATATAAAGCAACTCTGAAACATAACCCAGTGCCTTACCTGATCATGTTGCCTTAATAGAGCAATTTCCTGCTCAGTTTTGTTTTTCATTTTAGCCCGATACTGACAGAACGACTGAAACTGATACACGAACTCATCCACCATGTCCCACAACCACTGGTTGGGCAACTGCATATTCACAACGCCATGCAACACCACCTGCAAAGAAACCAAATCAACCACATGCAGCATACTGATGTATAAAAAGCTTAAGTCACTGCAAAACAGCACATTCCAATAATAAAATAATATTTTATGCCAGTAAACTAGACTCACAGGAGCTTATGTGGCTAAGCTTACAGAAAACCACAAAAGCACACATGCACATGTATGAACTGAAGGTGGCATAAGTTGTTTAGGCATAGGTATGCATGTACACAGCTCAAATTGGTTCTTCAAAAGACTTCATCACCATGGAAGAAACTTCAGGTCACTAAGAGCTCAGAACTTATTAAGCAAACATGCATAATTTGAGCTCAAAATTTATGCTTGGGACCAGAGATTGAGCAACAATACAGTGCAGATTGTCAAAGCCCATGCACTTCAAATAGTAATGTGTTTCAAAATCAAACACATTAATACAGGTTGATATCTAGAAATTCATTAAATAAACATCTCTTAGGTTATGCTTGGGAAAAGATTTTACCCAGAATCAGACTTTACAATGGGGAAAAATACATTGATACGTCAAATACATAAGCTCTAGTATCAGCCATGAAACGTGAGTGCCCATTCTCTTTATTTTAGCAGAGTCTAAAACTACATCAATAATTTCAATCCTCATAACTTTTTTGATAATAACCAAAAGATTGGCACCCTCAAGCAGCAATGTTCAACAAAAGTGTTATTCAGCGGCTAGGGGTTGGGGAGAACTGTTTTTTTTTTTTTTTTTTTAGGGAAGAAAGGGGCAAATGGTGTAATTTGGCATGACTTAATGGAGACAACAGCCCCTTATTATTCATTAAGCTTTAAAGAAACACCTAATTATGGCTGTGAGAATAAGCCAATCCAGCCACGAAGCCCATTACATAATAAGTAAACAGCCTTAAACTTTTTAATTAGTATGGTTCTATGGTCTCTCGACTTAACAGTCTAATTTACCAATCCCCTAAGGTTTCATGACTAGAATAATCAATCATCTTTAAAAAAAAAACAAAACTTGTGCGAAATCAGGTACAATTAACACTTACAGAAGCTTCATTTGCCAATATATCTCGAATTTTAACCCCAAACATCATCTTAATAGTATAAAAGATTTAAATCCTTCTAGAATTCGTGCATGTTTTATTCTTAAACTGCTAGTTTTACAAGCACACAAGGTCGCTCATGAGCTCACATTTGTTTAAGACTGTGCAGAAGTTTCGTGAGCTCGTCAGACATAAGCTATAATTCCAAACAAGCATTATTAGCATCATTTAAAAACCATTCGGGGGATAAACGTTCAGCAGAAAGACATAGAGAAAACGTGCCTGAAAGAGACTGCAGTAATTATCCCAAGAATCAATCCTCTGCTTGAGAGTCGGGGATAACCTAGCATAAAGGTGGCGATACCACATCTCGCGGTATAGCAAGCAGAACACATGGTCGTTATCCACGTACTGAGCAACGGCTTCAACGGAAGGCCAAGGAGTATCCTTGAACATACGGTCGCTTAGCGTATGGAATGATGTTTCGTACATCTGGTGGATCTCATAGACATTTTTCTCCCGGATATGACGGTAGAGGTGAACGACGAATGATTTTACGGGGTCCGGAACGAAGGAAGGGTCGTAGGGTATGCCACCATCGACGGAGGACTGTAATCCATCTTCGTAGTCGTAACCGACGGCCGCCATTGATGGTGAAGAGAGATTAGGGTTCCGACTGCGTAAGGAATGTGTAGTCGATAACAGGTGCGAGTGTGTGTCTGTGTGCAAGAGTTGGGCCTCCAGAGGATAAAAGGTGGGGGATGTTGCGAGAGAATTGGGCCTCTATTTTAGAATCTTTAAGTAAATATTATCTATAATATATCTATACTATATTATAAAGCATTTGGTTAAAACTCTTAAACTCTTAAAACTCTTAAACCCGTTCATCCCTAGACAATTTTATCCCTATCCGATTTCATCTCATAACTGAATTC